TCAGCGGCTTTTGATACAATAGATCATGGCATCCTCCTGGATCACCTGGGTGAGATAGGAATTGGGGGCACTGAGTTGCAGTGGTTCCATTCCTTCCTCTCAGGCAGATCCCAGAGGGTGTCACTCGGGGACAGTTGCTCTGCAAAAAAAAATTTTACCTGCGGCATTCCTCAAGGTGCCATCCTGTCCCTGATGTTATTTAACATCTATATGAAGCCGCTGGGAGACATTATCCAGAGACATGGAGCTGGGTGTTATCAGTAAGCTGATGACACCCAGATCTATTTCTCCATGTCCCAATTGTCAGCCCCGGCTCCTGATGGCATCTCTCCTCCCAAAGACTGTCTTAGGGCAGTAATGAACTGGATGAGGAAAAAGAGATTGAGATTGAATCCAGACAAAACGGAGGTGCTCACAGTAGCAGCCCTGAAACCAGGAATTGGGTTGCAACCTCCAGTGCTGGATGGGGTCACACTCTCCGTGAAGGACTGTGTTCGCAGTCTGGGGGTGCGCCTAGATCCGTCGCTTCAGATGACTAGTCAGGTGAATGCGACGGTCAGGAGTACCTGTTATCAGCTTCGGCCGATACGCCAGCTGCACCCTTTCCTGGAAGTAAGGGACCTTGAGACAGTGGTGCACGTGCTGGCAACCTCCCGTCTGGATTTCTGCAATGCGCTCTACATGGGGCTACTCTCGTGCTTGATTCGGAAACTTCAGTTGGTACAGAACATGGCAGCCAGAGTGGTCTCAGGAACTTCTAGGAGAGACCACATAACACCGGTATTGAAGTCCCTTCACTGGCTGTCTATTAGTTTCTGGGCCCAGTATAAGGTGTTGGTTATGACCTTTAAAGCCCTTAATGGCTTGGGTCCAACTTATCTTTGGGACCGCCTCCTCCCATATAATCCCCCCCGCACACTCCGGTCCTCTGGGAGGAATTTACTAGAGCCGATGAAAACTAGGCTGTCGATAACCTCCCAGAGGGCCTTTTTGGTCACCGCTCCCAAATTATGGAATGGCCTGTCGGATGAGATCCGTCAGCTGACAACCTTAAGCACCTTTAAAAAGGCTGTTAACACGGATCTCTTCCGGCAGGCCTTCCTCGGTTAGATTTCCTGGCCTCAGGAGTCCCCTTATTTCTTTACTATCCCTTTCACATGTACTGTTATCAAGCCAGGTATCAACCACTCTATAACCACTGTTGGTGTTGTGAGGCACTTGCAGATCTTTGCTCCATGTGGCATACATTGAAATTACTTTCTAATAAAGATTTTGTAAGTAGTCTTGGGACTATTTTATTCTTTCCTTTCTGCTAGTGTGTGACCCAAGGCGTCTTTCAGGATAAGTTAAAATATAGTTGTTTCTCCACATTCACTGGGGTTATGGGTGAAGGACTCCTGTGAATGTAGAAAAAACACAAATAAAAAAACACTATTCTTTTTACCTGAGAGCACCTCTCTAGGAATCTCCAGGTCCTCCAGTGCAACTCTGTGGTCAACATCTGCCAGACATTGATTACAGAATCGTGCTGGAAGACCTACAAATGCCTAGAGAAGTGTTACTTCAATCAAAATCTATCCTGTAACTCCAAATCATTAGACCTGGTCCTCCCCTCTGGGGCAGGTTCTCCAGCACAACTGGAGGCAGCTTCCAGCAGAATTGCGGTGGAGGACTTAGAGATTCCTAGAGAGGACATATTAATCCAAACTGCAAATAATCAAATTTGCAAAAGTCAAAGCCACAAATGTGGATGGTCAACTGTAAAGTAAAGACAGTGGAACTATGGTCCAAAACACACAGCAGAAATAACCCAGTTTGAGAGCACTTTAACTGCCCTGGCTCAATGCAAGGGAATTTTGGGAACTGTAGTTTTGTGAGACATTTAGCTCTCTCTACCAGAGAGCTCTGATGCCACAATAAACTACAGTTCCCAGAATTCCCTAGCACTATGGCAGAGCAGTTAAAGCGGCCTCAAACTGGATTATTTCTGAACTGTGTTGGACCTATGGAGTTTAGCACATGGAGGCAAATCCTGTGTAGAAACAGTATTTTAAAATCCGCTAAACACCTGCAAATGTACGTTGTTTTTCAGATGCATTGGCAGAAAGAGAAATAGTGCAAAAATAATCCAGATAGAAAGTCAACAAATACTACTTTCTATTTTTGGAATTTCCCGAAAGTAAAAAAGGAGTGGGTTTTGTCAGCTTTCCATTTGGGTTATTTTCGCGTTATTTCTTTTTCACACTAATGTCCGAAAAACAACCTGCATTTGTGGGTTTTTTTCTACTTTCTGCTTGTGTTAATGCCTCTGTGTTGTGTGCCTTCAGGTTGTTCCCAACTTATGGCAACCCTATCCTAGGATTTTCTTGGCAAAATTAGAGGAGGTTTGCCTTTGCTTTCCTCTGAGGCTGAGAAAGTGTGACTTGCCCAAGGTCACCCTGTAGCTTTCCATGGCTGAGCAGGGATTCGAACCCTGCTTTCCAGAATCATAGTCCAGCGCTCAAACCACTATGCCTCTCTGGCTTTCAAATGGATTTATAATTCTCTCACAATTATAATAGAGCTGTTCAGGCAAAATGTTGAAATAACACTGGTTCCCTGTTTCCTGAAGGGGTGCCTAGGTCCTAGACCTCTGCTCAGTTTCTTTGGTTGTGCAAAGTGACAGTGGCCCATATTGGCACTGTTTCTCTTGCTTTGGCTGCAGCAGAAAAACCAGTGACCTCCTTTTTAAGCCAACAAACAACAATGACCAACATCCTGCACCATCTTCATGTGCCAGATATGTTGTGCAATTGGCTACAGAGCAGGCTGCAGCTCATATATATGCACAAGCAGATGCCACACAAAGTTTTGGGAACCATCAGCCATCAGCGTCCTTTGGACAAAAGGCACAGGATGCATACTGCATGCAGAGGCTGGTTTTGTATTTGGCACTGATCTGGGAAGAGTTGCCTTCTTGATTTGGGATAATTTGAGGGGGGGTGTCATTTCACTTCTTTCTGTTTAACACAAAGAAAGTTCAATGGGCCTTTAGTATCTGCTGGGGTTTGGTTCCAGGTCTCCCTGTGGATACCAAAATCTGTGAGTGCTCAAGACCCATTATAAACAGTGGATAGTAAAATGGTGTCCCTTATATACAATGAGAAAATCAAGGGGTGTTTGTGTGTGTGTATTTGAATATTCTCAGGCTTGAATCCATGGATACAGAATCCGCGGAAGGCTGACTGTATACCTAACATGGTGCAGAGCATGACAAGTACATGATTGTGGAGAAGGATGAATGTAGAGATTTGTTTGTATGGATTATAAACCTGAATATATTCAGTCCCCTTCTATTCCAGAGTCATTGATGAAGAAAGTTTAAATGAAACTAAACAATCTAGCTTTCATTCCTGCAAAGGTGCATGGGTCATAGAATTGTAGAGTTGGAAGAGATCCCAAAGGCCATCCAATCCAATGCCATTCTGCCATGCAGGAACTCTCAATCAAAGCACCCCAACAGATGGCCATCCAGCATCTCTTTAAAAACCTCCAAAGAAGGTTGGAATCTATTTTCCTGTAGTTTGAATCCATTGGTTTGAGTGTTGGACCATAACTCTGGAAACCAGGGTTTTAATCCATGCTTAGCCACTGGGTGACCTTGGGCAAGTCACACTTTCTCAGCTTCAGGGGATAGCAATGGCAAACCTTTGAACAAATCTTTCCAAGAAAACTCCAGGAAAGATTCACCTTAGGGTCACCATAAGTCAGAAACGACTTCAAGGCACGCAACAAGGTTTAAGCCTTGAACAAAATGGTATGTTTGAAGGGAAGCTGTGTTCTCTATGAGATTGGCTATGGTTCTGCTGTTTGTTTTTTTGAAAATGAGCAAATGAAGACATTTGAAACCAAGCCTCCTGTCACA